TCTAAATAGTAATTAATTAATTTAAATTATTTTATTTTGGTAAAAAAAGAATAAAACTTATTAATATTAAGCTTGAGCGATTATTGGAATGTTAGTATTATTGTTAGTATTAAATATATGTAATGTAATGCATAAAATAGAATAATTAATTAGATATAATCTAATGCCCGATGATCATGAGCTCATTCTCCCTACTCACCTAGATCGGAGTGTCTAAAGCCATTTTGGCTAACTATGGGGGATATTTGCTTGACGAAGATGCGCAAATTGGACCAGTTATGCCAACTCTTGCTAACCCAATGGCCGACAGAAAAACTGGTAAGGCAAGTCGCCAAACGACTGGCCGGGAGGACACAATTGGTCATCCCTTTCTTCGGAGGCTTCCTATCCCAGTTGAAGTGTATAATGGATGATACACCTCCGATGGTGCTACTACCAAAAGAGAAAATGGTGAGAAAATTGAGTTATACGTTATGAAGATACGAGAGATGGTTGGGAAAAGTTTAGGCGCATGAACCTGTATAGACTTCTGGAATCGGTAGAGTATCCTCCATCTCAAAGGTCAGAATTTCTCCTTAACTCCATTGACACTGTGTCAGTAAGCGTAAGCGGCTCCAATCGAATGATTGTATCCACAAGTTACGGGCTCGAATAAAGTAAAATCTCGGAAAATCAACCCCCTGATAGCATAAACATTTCTCATAAATTATCTTAGGACAGTATAGTCCTCATTTACTGAAAGGTCCAGTGATCTCAGATGCACTTCAGAGTTCATCTACACATGATAGAAACTAAAGCGAAAGACAGAGAAAAAGTATGAATGGCATCACTTTATTAGACAATCCTCTTATTTTGCCAGTTATAATGATTTGCTTGCTTTCTGTACATCATTTTTTAATTTGAAGAAATATAGAGCGTTCTGGCATGTCAATTATATAATTTTTATATACAATAATTATTATCTATAATTAATTTGCTTTTTATGGTGGCGCTATTTATTAATATTTAAATAACATTCAAAATAAATTAATTTTTTTCAAATGGCCTAAACTGTTTACATGTTGTATTTCTAAAAGAGCTCAGATGCCGAATTGAGCTCCCATTTTGTCAGCCCGATTTAGGCAACAAAAGCGTGGATGGCCTCAGGCAAATGTCCGATACCAATTAAGTTAGTCACAACACTAACCGAGGGAAAATAGCAGGTCATTTTTAATATATTCGCAACAAGTCATGGCGGGCTTGGAGATTGCGACAGTCCAAATAGGTGCTATCATCATGGCAACTAGTGAAGCACATATAACATCTCAAGGACAAGAGAAGCGTCGCATGAGCCCTAATCTAAATGGCTATTCCTCGACGTGAGACAATGTGGTCCTGACATTTCAATGTAAAGCAAACTGAAAGATAATGTAGATCATTTGTGACCCACTGAGCATAATAGATTTATCAAGTTAATCTCAAATAAGGATAAATTAATTGGTATTAGAGTAGGGTTTCCAGATTACCAGTAAGGTTTTGAGACTACCAGTAAATCACTGTAATTAGGGAATTTCCGTCAGTTTGCTAGGATACTTTTTAAAGTGGTAAAGTTACGCTATAATAATTTTCCGATATTTAAATCTGGTAAAATGAATTATTTTAAACGGATATTATGTTTCCCAGTTAGCTCTTTTTGGCATTCCGATTTTTGAACCTAGGCATTACGAAAACCCCATGAGAGATTCCTAGGAAGTTACATATTCAAATGTTTCTATACTGACTTGGGGCTCGAATGGAGATTGAAATTACTTGTTCCCTTGATAGCATTTAGCCTATTCTAACTTTCTTGATCACTAAAACGTGAAGAGTCGACGGTAAACAAGAGCGTGTTTGATTTCGACTTAAACTATTTTTTATATTTATTTAGTATATAAGAGATGTATCTGTAAATCTGTTTATTCATTTCAGAATCAACCTGTTGATATAACAGAGGACGTATTTACCACTTCTATTGGGGTGGGTGGACTTCTAAATATTTGTCGGGCTCAAAAGACGATGTCTGTACTAAAAGATGTCGAAATGTTCCAAAGGCATGCGGAGAATGTTCTAAAGGTTGAAAACGAAATAGAGAAGCATTTTTCGGAACTTCTTGGGCTCAGGTGAGGTGTAAAAAATAGAAAATAAAGTTCCATTTTAAATTTCCTTGCTGCAAAAATATTTTTAACTTTTGCCTGTAATTTCCATGATTTGTCTCTCCAGCTTATTATAAAGAAATTTCTTGAGTGTCCCACACATAATTCAGTTCAAACAGAATATTTTATTTATTTTCCGTTTAGAAGTAGGCTTATGAGAATATGTACATATCTTATATCAGAATATTTTATTTGCTGCTTTTCTATGCTTCAGCAAACTCCTTTATCATGAAGTTTGACCTCTAGGCTACTATCCTTATTATGGGATGTATTCACCCTATTTCGTTTAAGGTGATGAAGGACTGGTATTAGAATTTTCTCACAATGATATGAGTAGAGTTGACGTTTCCATAAAATTTCACATAGCCTTGCTTTTCCAAAAGTTGTTCTCATCCTGGGTGGACTGCAATTTCGACCTTTGAGAAAGCAAGGCAATGTGAAATTCAATGAAAACATGAGCTCTACTCATAATATTGTAATAAAATTCTACTACCAGTCCTTCATCATCTTAAACGAAACAGGGTGAATACCTCTCATATTACTGATTTACTGGTAGTCTCGAAATTCTACTCAAATACTATCTTTATGTCCCCTATATTTAAAAGTAGATCCATCTTGGCTAAATATAGTGTAAAATTTTGTTTGGATAGGTGAAAAATGTACTCTTTCTATTACACTTTTACTTTGTAAAATCTATGTATTTCTCATTTTGGGGTACATATTAATGCTGCTTATACTCTAACTGGCATTGGTGAAGTTTAAAATTTTTCCAATAAATTTAGAATTTTATATTATTTTACTTTCAGTAAATTCTTCCAAATTGCAATCACTGGATTTTTTATAGTCTATATTCAGAAATCCTAAGAACCTTTTCTAATAATGTGAATTCAAGAGCTTTTTTATAAATAATTTCTAAAATTATTCCGTTTGTCTGAAAAATTGGCCACTTTAATTCCGGGTAAAATAGTAATTTAACGGAAAATTAAGATAATTTACTTCTGAAATGCTCCCACCAGATCCAAGAAATCTAGTAAGTAAATTTGTAAATGATGATAATATTATTATGACTAATTAATAAGATGGAGTACTTAGGAATATTGATAAGTTATTAATCTCGCAATATCCTTATTATAAATACAACCCCAAATGATTTCCTATCCCACAAAAACTTTCACGCATTAATTTCATCATTATTGGTCACACGCATTGCAGAAGTGTGATTATGCGGAAATAATGCTTGCTATAGCCCTAAAAGTAAGCTTGATTCTTGACTTAGAGGTCGGTCCTCAAAGTCAGAAGACCTGAAGCGATTGCCTTTTTGAGGATATATTGTTCGTATATTGTCACATGTCCTGGTGTCGACTTCTCCTAAACTCGACCGTAGGTTCACTAAAAGTGAAGTAATTTGTTTCGGTAGGAAGGGTCTCAAGTAAGCAGTTTTGCAATTTTTCCTATTCTCGCAATGCGGATAATAGTGTTGGCCACTTTCAGGTGGCAAACCTAAAATGTTATAGCTCCCTCTGATCGTAAACATTTGTGATTGTAAATTATTCAAAGTTTACTCTAGTGATTTATTGTGACCTTACTAGCCATTTCGTGCAAACATTTGGTCAGAAAGAATTCGTGGATTAGTCTGGCCGAAAACCGAATCAAGAATGTTTTAGAGGAATGAAGACTTTTGCAATGTCCTTGCTGAGCTTTCTCGTATTATGCGACAGTCATCGCCAAAGCGTGAAATTATACTCTACCAAAATAAGCACCAAATATAATAAGTGAAGAAATCCAGTCTTAAATTCTCAAGATAATCCTGTAGACGATGTAACTTTTATTTGCATCTCATATTGCAGCTATAAAACAAGTTTCATGATACTATTTTGCTCAAGAAATGCCCTAATTATTTTTGCCAGAAATCTCAGCTTTGATCAGATTTTATGGTTCTAGGATTATATTTTGAATGAACATTTAGATAGTTCTTGTCCTAAATGGGCCAGCATAATTTTTTCAATAAGTTTCTAAGAACATTTGTCAATTTCAGCGAATCGATGGTATGCAGGACTATAAATTGTACCAAAATGACTTTCTACAATGGCGTGTCACTTGAAATTTCTTCAAATATTAGCTTTCCTATAATTTTTCTTTGGTAATTGAATTGCATCATTCGATCCATCATATTTAATGTTGAGTAGTTCAATAATAAATTTGACTAATTAGCTGGCCAGGTCTCTTTTTATTAAATTGCTGGAGAAAAAAATACACAAATTATTACATTCTGTGGCTTATAACATCTGCGGATTGCTGGTTCTACGATGTACGAAAATAGCGGGTCTCCAGGCCGACTTATATAGAAAGTAGGTGAACCGTGAGCAAAATATTACGAAAAGTCCACAATTAGTGCTAAAATGTCTTCTTTACTTGTTTAATTCATTAAAACCTCCTAAAATGTTTGCTGAAAGATGAAAAAATTCATCCCAATTTTGTTGGTTC